TCCGTTCCTCTCTCAGCAGGAACTAAAGGACAGCAGAAACTATTGGCAGTTGTGCTAGCAACCACAAATGACCCTGTTTCATCTACCTTACAGATGATGTTGTGCTGGATATGCTGTCCCAGAAAATGGAGGAACTACTGTTTGAAATAAAATGCCGGTTTCCATCTAGCATGGTATGTAGAAGTCATGGAGATAGAGGGCATGCAGAGTATGTTATTTCTGGTTATGGATTTTATAATTTTCAAGTAGCTGGAATCTCACATAGTGCAGAATTTTAGAGCTGGGTGTAATGGGGTGAAGAGTGCATTTCTATGAGTCTATCTAGCTACTGAAAACAAGCAGTTGGAGGCTTTCTTTATGCCACACTGCATTGATTTACTGCATTCTTCATACTAAACCAGGAAAGTTTACAGGAATGAAGCCTAAGTGTATTACAGCCAATTACTTTTGTTTTGCAATAGCATCCTTAAAAAACAAACCAACCCCCAAAATACCAAACCAAACCCTTGTGACCATTTGCCTGAAGATTTAAGTTACTTTTTTCAGCATGACTATTTGCTGAAATTAAGTGTAACTGCTGAAACTGCACGTTGTGGTTTAAGCCCAGCCCGCAACTAAGTACCACACAGGTGCTGCCCCCTGGATGGGGTGGGAGATGCTGTGGTATGAACTACCCCTTTGGCTGGTTCAGGTTGGGTGTCCTGTCTCTGCTCCCTCAGAGCTGCTTGTGCCTCTCCTCACTTGGCAGAGCATGAGAGTGAAAAGTCCCTGATCAGGGTAAGTGCTATTGAGCAACAACTTGACCATCAGTGTGTTACCAGCATCATTCTCAGACTAACACAGCACTGCACCAGATCCTAGGAAGAAAACTCTATCCCAGCTGAAAGTAGAACACACCAGAAACAACGAAGTTATTCTAGCTGCTTAATGTTACACTAACACTTCCCTTGCAATGGCTTGCTGTCAGGAAAGCAGTAATGGCAAGTTTGTTCATTGAGCCAGTGAAACTGGTTAGTCTTCTAACTTTGCTCTTTTCAGTTTAAAAGCATTTAGCCTGCTTACATAATTTGCCAGTTACACACAAACTAGTTCTCTATGCTCTCCTGCAGGCATTCTCTGGACCATTTTAATGAACACTGCAGCTATTAGTGCAGGGGGGGGAAAAAACACAGAAGAAAGCAGGCTCCCTCTTCTGCTGTATATCTTACTTGTCATTCCCCATGTCCCTTGGTGACAGCACAGAGAAGGTCAGAACACTCTTGTTCTGGCAGTACAGTGTGTGAGCTGCAACTGCTGTATGTCTGAAGCCCATTCCTTCTTACTTTCCAGTATCCATTTAGATAATTTAAATCATAGCATTAGTCTTCACTCTGGTAATTACAGTCGCTTTGGATTTTGTAGACTTGGACCCCACATGTTTAAAACACCAAACACTTTAAAGGCCTATGTTAGACACTGTTTTTATTAATGAATATAAAAATAAGTGAAGCAACAAGGTAATCCTGGACAACTCTCATTCCTCTCCAGGAGATAATGGCCCTTGTGGATGCAACGCTTTTGAAACTGCAAAAGTAAAAGCAACTTTGGCTTAAGAACAAGACTTGCACTTCTTCAGCAGAGAGAAAAGCTCCACAAAGATTTTTAAAGATTTTTCTCACCAGAAGGATTAATACTGGGCTATTAGTCATACATAAACAGTGTTAGATCTTGTTGATTTAGGTACCACAGCTGTGAGACTAACAGCAATAATTAAGAATTCACCCTACTTTGTAGACTCTGAGGTATTTTAAATAAAGACTTTAGTCTGGGGAATTTCAGCAAAGCCATGACAGTTTCTTCTTTCATCTACTGTAATTTAAAAATACTTTAACTTACTCAGAAATTTAACTGATGAAGTACTTCACAAATGCAGGTTTAGTTACAAGTATTGTTGAAACACAGTGGTAGGCATCAGAAAGGGGGTGCCAGCAGTATTGTTGGGTGGCAGCACTAACATACCAGGTTAGGAAGTACTGTCTCTTGATTTTATTTAAGTTGCTGCTGTCACTTCTGAGTTATTTCTAAATTTGCCCTGGAAAGTGACATGAAACCAGCAAATGCTGCAGATAAAAACACAGCAGTAGAATCGTTCAAGTTTTACAATTCTTGTTAGATTTGTTCTTAACAGCAGCTTCCCATTTCTTTTTCTCTAAGGTATACAGTCTCATTGCTGCTTGTGCATCCTGAACCTAAAAGGGAGCAGAACAAACAGGAGGCTTAATAAAACACAGCTGAAATGCATTAAGAACACTATTATTAATAAGCAGCTAAATCTTTCATCATTTTTATGCATCTGTTCAATTAACAGTTCATAATCGCTTTCTAGGTTTAGGTTCTGTGACCGGTGGAAGGGGATGAATGTGTATTGAGTATGCATGGCCCACCACAAGGCTATGTGTGTCTGGTCATGATCTGGAAAGCCATAATGAAAAAGTACTCTTGATATAGTATCTTGGAGACACCATCATTGTGTGCCCTCCTGTTTCAGTCCATTCTTATGTCCTCCTGCCCACTGAAAGAAAGGAAGTAACAGCTGCAATTCAGTACTAGGCTCTCACTATTTTATCCAACCTGCCACAGTACAACTGTGCAGAATTCTGCTTTTAAGGAAAGCAAGTCAATACTTGGGAATTGCTTTTTTTCCCCTGGGGATCTTAAAATAACAAGAGTTGATAACATTTACACGAAATACAGTTGACTTGTGCAAAAGCACTTTATGAAGATAATGATCCAAGTGGCATGAGACATGTAATGGTAAGCAAGCTAGACGACAGTTCTGTTGCATGCTGGTGTCTAAGCAGAGCTCATTAACTTTGACCTAGAGGCTGGAATGAATCCACAGCATTCTGGACTGAACCCAGATCCTAGAGCTAATGCGTAGTACCACCTTGATCTACCCAAAGATGTATGTTAAGAGGAGATACATACCGAGCAGTGCTCTGATGTCTGCACTTGAACATTTAGCAGTTTCTCACACAGCAGTTTCAGTGATGGCCTCCCATTCTGGAGACAGAAAAGACAGAATCATGTTGTCCTGCACTACTTAAGAGGTGTGTAGAGATGTGTGGGTATGTATATAAAAATACTCATTTGCGTAAGCCTCAAAATATGGCACATCTCAGCTTCTGCTGGTGACCTGACAAGAATAATGAACTGAGATTGTGTACGCTGCTGAGAGGATGTTGTGTATTGCCATAACCCTCAGATTTATGTTTGGGGTGCTTTGCTGTGAAAAAGAAAACTTGAATATGTAGCTGTGAAAGCTGAAATGTTTCCCCATAATCTGACCCTTTACTCCTACAGTTGAAGCAGAAACTTGAAGCTTTTTTTTTTTTTTTTTTTTTAATATCCCTATGGAAATGGTACCATTAAGAAGATGGCATAAGCCTTACTGTAAGTAGAACTCTACCATTTTATTTTGATATCCAGAAAAGCATTATGAAGACCATGCAAATGCTAAAGAATGGGAAAGTCACTGAGTTTTATGCACAGGTATTACTGGTAATGTTTGTACTGAACCAAAGTTACTTACTGATGTATTTCAAACACTAAGAAAGGGTTCAACTAGATAAGTATTTTCAAGTGACAAAAAGCAGGCATCCCTGTTTCAGGTAGGAAAGAGGAAATAGGGTCAGGTAGAGGCAAGTGTAGGGGTGAGCTAGCACTGGGAGACAGCAGGTCAAGAGTCAGTTAGCTGAGCTGAGAGGCATCTTCCCGTCAGTCTCTTACCTTGACTCCAACTCTCTGTCTGAAAGGTTTGTATCTTTGTGTGTCACGTATCTTCTTCTGCGGATGATCAAGAAATAGGACCTAGAAGAAGTTAAATTTACAGTCCGAAGTGTGCTATTGCATGAAACTTTATAAAGCTGAACGTACAGCTTCCTGCTGCTTCCTTCCATCTGTTACACGAGAAGGTTCAAAACCATGAATGGACAAGACCCAGATCATCCAGGCCCTGGCTGGATTCAAAGAACCACAGTTCTATTTAGTATGATAAACAGAAATTAATCTGAAGGCACCACCTGTAGAGACTACCTCTGCAGCGCTGGTACAGCATGATGTAAGGTACCTGTCCCTGGTCACAACAATCAGGCTACTAAGTTTTAGGGACTAAGCAAAGCATGCAGTTTTTTCATCTGTTTCTGTTCATTTCCGTTTCATTCTGTTGCACTCTGTTTCATTCTGTTTCTTTCCCGTCTCTTTAGTAGGCAGGTAAGTGCTAGCAGCACCATCAAACAGTTTGAAAGCTGAAGAATCCTAGTGGGCAAGTGACTAGGGCTGTAACTGGTGCGGCATGAAATGGCAAGAAACCAAGATAGCAGTAATAAAGCTGTAGTTTCTAGAAGTTCAGGTGTGTTCATCTGATCCAGAATGTGCTACTAGAAAATTAATCTAAAAATTATTGCAGCCTTTTCCTCAAAATACCATATGTGCAGCCATGTACCTTTAGATCGTTCCGCAAAGCATGGCCAACTAAAATCCTTCCCCTCAAGATGTCAGCGACTTCCTTCTGAACTGTTTTAAAATCTTCACCTGAAAATACCACAAAAGGAAACAATTTCCATTAGGTGCAGGAGACAACTAAGCAAGTTATAAAACTAAAACGCTGTCTCTTTTCTGTGAAAGCAATTGTATCCTTGGGACTGTAGTTACACAAACTGGCACAGTACACTAAATCCTCTCCTTGTTAGAACAGCATAGAGAATTCCATAAAGAGCATAGCAGTAAAAGTAAATAAACTTCCTGTGATTCCCATACCACAATCCACATGTACATTTCTGCCAGGGCATTAGTGACCACTCTGTAAAAAGTACTTCTTCCCACACTTTTTCTTAGCATTCAGGCTACGTTTTGTATTCCATTTCCCAACATAAGTCTAAAACCTTTCCAAGCTCAGCCAACAATGCTGCTGTGACAGCCTGTCAAATTTTCCCTCAACGAACCTTTTTCTGGGTAAAAAACATCCTACCTGTGTTTATATTGTCTGGGCGTATGCCACTAACAGCGGTTCTGTAATCGGTCACCTCTTCCGTAGGCTTGACATACTTGTCATAAACACACTTTCCAAACTGGTTGACGATGGACACACGAGCCACGATGCTATCCTCTCCCTTGGGTCCCACTCCCACCATCTCGCAGTCCATGGCCACAGCTCGTGTCAGCCTAAAAGACAAAGGGTAGCTCAGTGATGCCGGTGTGCCACGGCCTGCGGAGCGGCATTCGCGAGGCTCCCGCGTGGACAAGAACAGGAAGCTCAGCACTGTGTCAGATTATGCTGTGCGCCCGATAATCACGGTTATGAGAAGATGATCTCAACGGTTCTGCTGCTATCCTGCCCGCTGGAATGCCACTCACCCCTTGGAAGCATTTTCCTTAACCAGCACCTGCTCCACAGACTGACTGCATTGATGTGTTTCAAGTCCCAGATTTCTCCGTGCAATTTTTGCTGCTTCAGGTCCTATTGCTGCTTCAATGTCTTTTGGATCAACGTCGTCAAACCAGATTTCAGCCCTGGTAAGTACAGATTTAACTGCATTTGGTGGTTTTAAAGCACTCTTTCATCTTTATAGTGTAGAAAAAACATTTATTTTAAAATCAAGAAATCAGCTCTGTGACCATTAGTCTAGTACTGTCACTGGTACCTGTTCCTTGCTATACTTGTGGAGCAGGGAGAAATAAGAATCACGCTGCCACGAAGTTTAGTCTTTGTGTGCAGCTGGTTTGCGCGTACTCCTCTGCTCCTTATGTACACCTCCCAAAATAAATGTTCACATAAATGTATGATGCCTAAAGTACTCACTCTTTGAGCTGCTGCTCTGCATGTTCTTCAGCTTTCCTCCTCTTATGTTTTATATCATCTTTCTGCTTTAAAATATCACCATTTTTCTTTTTATCTTTGCAGTCTTTTCCATTGCTTCTGGTTCCATTCATATTCTTAACCATTGCACACCCCTTGGGTTTTGCCTTAGCCAAAGGAGGATTGTCTTTACCAGAACCACTGTCCATTTTATTTGTGGATTTGACCTTTACCATGTTCCCGTTCCCATTGATAATTGGGACTTCTTGGCTATTTCCTGCTTTGAGGGGCTGTGTCTTTTTGCTGTACGTCTGACACGTAGCGAGGGACTCGGAGCTATTTGCCTTTTGCTTCAGTAGCTAAAACGACAAAACAAAACAAAATAACCCCCAAAACAAACGTATTATCTCCCCCCATTCCTGACCCCACCGTCGTTCCTGGGGGCTCACAGAATTCCAGGTTGGACGGGACCTCAAGGCGCATGTGGTCCAACTTTAAGCGGCTCCTGGCGTTCTGCTTCATTCACTGACACCAAGCTCACGACTTCCTTCGTCATCAGGCACATGGAACTGCGCTCAGGGAATGACAGAGCGGCCCTGCCCGCCCCGGGGCCTTCCCCGTCCCCTG